TGATGTTTTTTCTTGCAGTGAAAACAGGTAACTCGACTTCGACACTGTGCTGCATGGTGTCTGCCACCTGTACAATTAAAACATAACTTCTTTGCTTGTAGCTTTCGTTTACGCTCAGTGGGTGTAGCAACCTTCTTACATTCATACGACTTGTGCTGTTCGTCATCACAGTAAACACAACCCTTTGGTGTTGAGGAATCTTTGGAGAAGAACGAATGGTTGCGGTTGTAGGGGGTCCTAGGGTTATGTTCGCTTGAACTTTCCACCAGGTGTATTGCTTTCCAATTTTCCAGAGCTTTTAACAAATCAGCAAATCCCCAATCTTGCCATCCAACCTGATTTGTGACCAACTCTGCCTTAATACCAGGTAATTTCTCTATAACACCCCGTACCATTGACAAACTCTGCGATAGTTTACTCAATGTTTCTAATGATTGTACATTGTAGCTCAGGTTCTTGATAAATTCATGTATCTTGTTTACTTTCCTGCCAGTTATTGTAGGCAACTCTTGTATGTTTTTTACATATGCCCTAACAATTTCACTTGTATTCCCATGATTAGTTTTCAAAATGTTTTTAGCACGGGTGTACCCCTCCATTGTAAAGGGTAGCCCATCAATCTCGTCGCACACATGGGGCTCTAACAGTTCCTTTAGGTAAGAGAACTTGGTTACAGCTGGGAGGTCTGTATTGTCTATTTCAGCTTCAAATTTATTCCAGAAAGACAGCCATCTTTCATATGTACCATCATACTTTGTTATTACTAACTTAGGCATTTTAACACTGCTCACCTTTGCTTGTTCTGGCTTTGTTGACTTGACACTAACCGAACCCAAGCTAGCCATTTGTTCCAATTTACATTTTTCGAAATACAGTTCTTCGTCCCGTTGTTGTTTTAGCAATATTTTCTCCTTTTCACGTTTCTCGTTCTCAGTCCTCGCCTCGGCTTCTGTTAAATATTGATTTAAGTGTGATATTTCGCAATCCGTCTCATCAATCTCGCCTTCGATATCGACTCCCCATTTTTGAACATCTTCGATCGCTTCCCCGTCTTGTAGTTTGTCCTTTTCGCCTTGTATTTTAAGCTCTTCTAATTCTTTCACAATTTTCCCCAACGCTTCTTTATGTCGAATCATTTTGTCAAGATTTCCCTTCTCTAGAATTGCTTTCGTTTTGCTCCGTGTGAGTTTTAATAGCTGTCGCTCGGTGTCTATAAAATTATCGCTCTTTTTTTCCATTTTATCTGTTATTTTCTGGGGGTTTTCGCTCACATATCCCGTGTGGAGGTGCCACGTGTTGTAAATAGTTAGAATCACTCGATAAAAGGTTTAAAACTTCTTTAATTCTCACTTAAACTTCGACATAAAGTAGATTTTGTGTTTCGTGTTAATATTATGCAATCCCAGGAAAAGCATGCTTTCTTCCAGGAAAAACCCCACGCGTCTCGCGCGATTCTCACGCGTCCATAATTAGATTAATATTACGTCATTCTCGACACATACAATTATTCCTGAACATTTCAAAATATACGTTCAAATGTTTGACGTTTCTGTCTGTTTTCAAAAGCAGGAAGTCGAAGCTATGCCGCGGTGCATGATGATCCTTCGCGCGCTCCAGGGATTCAGCAATTTGTGAATGGTTTCTGGGCTTAACAAACGGACCTAACACTGCATAGAGCAGTTTCATGATGGTAATATAAAATTACTGTTTAATCATGCAGATAAATTAAAAGGGAAATTCTTTGAGTTTCATGGGTTAACATGCACAGAAAAATAACCGTTACATGATAGATGTTTGGCATCTTTGTCGAGTTGAGGCACTATAATAGCGGTATTTGGTTCTGCGGCAAGCTGTTAGAACTACTGTAGAATTAAGCAAAACCACCTGCATGTATAAATTGACGTTAAAAGTTTATATTATAGGCGTGAGCAGCGTAACTGACAAATCAATTTACTGCTTTTGTGAAAACAGAAATATTATCGAATCTATAGATTTTTCAATCTTCAGGAAACACTAGGATTTAAAATAGGCCGGCAGTGTCATCAAAGCATTTTGCTGAAGAATTGTTGGAGAATCGCATTTTATTAGCCTCTTAGTCGAAAACATTTTTGTACTGACCAAAATAAATTATGGCGGTAGCAATTACTCTTTTTATAGAGACTCGTGAAATAAACAAAACAAAGCAAAACAAAAAAGCCGATATCTGAACAATATACTGTATCTTATATATATCATTTGACACCATGAGATATTTCCAAGCAATTAATGACTGTACCGTTATGCACTGTTACTGAATCAACTAATTTTATAGTGTCATTGATATGTTTTACAAATTTTATTTTGCTTCAGATTTACTGTGTTACTATGTGTACGTTCTATTAAATCGAGTCTTCTATAATGCAATGATTAAAAATTAAAGTGACACGTATACCTGGAGTCCACTGTAAATAAAGGGATTATTTTTTCGTGCATGATGAAAAAGTAGGTGAAGGGCTTGCACAAGGAGGGAATTTCCTGGGTATGGTGACACGTACTGTTAAGCGAATTTGACACTATTACTAATGATGCCATCTCCTTACCTAAGTATGCAACTTGATACACGAGCCCCAAAATCCAGAATGAACTGATTCTAACAACATCTTAGCTGCTGCGAAAGTCTTTGGTCACTGCACTCGTACTTAAAACAAGCACACACTAAAAAGTACGTTAGTGAGAATATAAGGGTAACTTGCTACAAACTATTGTCGAATTTCAACGATTCTCTTGGAATATTGTTCTGCACATATTACTCCGAGTTATTTTTGTTTTACATTTTGTTCACTTTTAAAGGAGTATTTTCATAAAACTTTAAAAAAAACATGTGTTCGTTATCTTATCGTTTTAAAAAGCGCTAGACTATATTGTTGAGCCCGTTTCTACAACATAACCGCTGGCTACTCAGTCCCAGTCTCTCAAGCTGTTTCTTAATTGTTTTCTCACACGGGTACACACATGTATTAAAAAATCGCCTGTCACTTTCATGTTCAAAACTACGAGCAAAATTGAGAAAACTTAAAAATCAGTGGTACCTTTTGTGTCTGCAGTTTCCAAGAGTTTTTGTTTGTGTGTAATCCAGAACCAAAACTAGACCATTTTGATAAGCTTTTTTCTTTAAATGCAGCGCACGATACTGTACATACATGATAACCTGCTACAATGCAATGCAATGCGATAAGCTATATTTGAATTCGAATATTTGACAGCTACAATAAGCTATAATATGCTATTGATCCCCGAGCCGGCGGCGCGAAGCGTCGTGCGAG